TTTTGGAAAGTAAAAACTGAAACTTGCTTACTCGTATAATTGTCGTGAACTGTACTCTGCATGTAGGCAAGGCGAAAAGGAATTCTTGGGAGGAGAGGGGTTCTAAAATTATGCCAGAGGGAGGGGTAGACTAATCCAAAAATGTAGGGGGTTTGATGATTAGGGTGGGCTTAGTTATAGGGTAGAGTTTGGATTATAAGGTTTTGGGATAAGGTTCTGGTGGGCATTGGGTTAGGTTGGGATTATTGCTCAGAATAGTGCATTGAAAAGTGTTGAATAGGGAGTTGGCCTGGGAAGTTTCGAGTGGGTTGGGTGTATCATAGTTAATATAATGAGAGGGTTTGGAAGGACAGCAAACTTCAAAGGATCAAGCGCCCTTTCATGAGCTGAACTTGATAAGGTACATCATGTGACAGTTATAGTGCATCATGGCGGCAAATTAATAGTGTGATATACTGTGGAAAAGTAAAAATCCTCAATAGTTTTTCAATATTTTGGTAAATTTTGAGAGTTTATCACACATTGCCTGTGTAATGGGCAACTTTTAAGATGCTTTTAAGTTCCATTGGCCAATCTGCTTCCGCTGTGTATACTATCAACAGGGTGCCAGATAAATGTGTCACATATCATATTTCAAGTCAAATGAAGTCAGACTGCTTTTCCAGTTCAAAGAGATTGTAAAGAATCACGTTTTTAGTTTTGGAAACATGGATGTAGATGATGAATACAAATCTGAACCTTTAGCAAGCTCTTTTTCCGCTTTTGAAGGCGATTTTGAGCAAACCATCGTACTTCTGGGGATGGATGTGGATGAAGTTGAAATCGAGGTTCAAGAATCGCTTGAAGAGGTAATATAAAAGACAATACAATAATTTTTGATATATTTTATTATCATCACCACGCCGGGCACAAGAATCGCGAAAATCGGAAAGTTAGCCATTCAGTTTGAGCAGCGGTCGCGCATGTGAGAATACATTAACTCTTAAGCTGCAGGTTTCAAAATGGCGAAAAAATTAGTTGTGACCGAAGTCATTGAAATTATTTTTAAGGAAGTATTTGGTGATGAGGAGGTTTCTGGTGATGGCGAAAGCGAGCGACCCAAGTACTGATGGGATTGTCTTTTTAAAAACAAAGGCAATTTATGCGCGGGATATTTTTAAGGGAGAAGCGATGTTATAGTTGAAGGCAACCCATCGTCGCCTAAGTGGAAAGCGAAGGGTCAGACAGCCATTTTATAATAGCTTCACCCGGGACGTCCCAATGGCCATCTTTGAAGTTCTTGAAACCCTTGTAACAAGACTTGGGTTCAGCAGGCCTTCTTGCTACGTGGAGCAAAATAGCAAGGCAGTGACAATTTCGTTCACAAACATGGACACTACAAAGGTTTTCTTGTCTGTATTATCGGCAATTCCGGTAATTGAAATTGTCGATCAATACTTCAAGAAAACCTTGAAAGGAAAGAAGAGTGGTAGCGTTGTGGAGGTACTGGTGTGGGAGGAGAAGCAATTTGGCTTAACATATTTTATAAGGAGGGGTCAATTAGAGGTATCATTTTACTTTGGTGAGTGGAATAGTTATGGTTTTCCACAACATAATTGAATATAAGGTTAAAACATATGTAACACAGCTGTCAATGTACACCCCCCTTTTCTTGAGCAATTGACCTTGTCTAAGTATCTGTTTATGTTGCATTTGCAATGTGCATATACTGATTGTGATTAATTCTGCAGCTTTTAGATAAAAGTAAACTTTACTTTACCTTTTTTAGAACCACCAAGTATTTTAATAAAATACAAAGCAAGGGTAACTCCAAATATCGATAACATTTTTATAATTCGATCTTTGGAAATACCCTTGTTTTGTATTTTACTGTACATAATATAATCTTGAAAATAGGAACTGTTCAGAGTTGACCGCAGTCTGAATACTAAAGCAATCTGGTTGGGTCTAGCATGTCTTAAAAATGGTAAAATAATTATGTGGTCACGAACAATGGTCTTTTGTCAAAAATGCTTGTCTAATAATTTTTTATTACAATATTTTAGGAGATCAAAGAACTCAGCCAGATTTTTCTGTCATACTGCCATTACCTTGATGGTTTCATCCTCCCATGTTTAACCCATTAACTGGCAGTACTCTACCACTGACGAGTAAAATCGTCTGGCGTTAGACAGAGTAAACACTAAAATTAGGGTGCATTGCCATTTAATGGGTTATTAACCCATTAAGCGTCAGCGCTCTCCCCTTGACGAGTAAAATCGTCTGGCGTTAGACAGAGTAAACACTAAAAGTAGGGTGCATTGCCATTTAATGGGTTATTAACCCATTAAGTGCCAGCGCTCTCCCCTTGATGAGTAAAATCGTCTGGCGTTAGACAGAGTAAAATACTCTGGCGTTAGACAGAGTAAAATACTAAAGTAGGGTGCATCAGGGTGCAATGCGACTCAATGGGTTAACTAGAGACATTGTCAGATTTGTTGGTTAAGTACCCCACTAGAGTATGATATTTAAAATAAGTGACCTACCTCGGTTAAATGCCCATCTTGAACTGGTTATGGCAGCTAATAATAGCTCTGTGGGAGTTTGGGGTTTACATTGACTGCCACATTGTATAAGATTGTATGTATAAGTTCAAAATCAATGTCACCAAAGTTGAACATAAATTGGAACTTGTTTGTGTGATATTACTCTGAGTGTGTATCCACACCGGGCAGGCTTGAAAAATATGCCTGGCCACGGCGGGATTCGGACCTACGACCTTTGGAATACTAGCCCAATGCTCTTCCAACTGAGCTACGCTGTCAGGACGGTTCGAGTATGCGATATTGGAACTTGTTACAATGTTCAGGAATTGGAACTTGTTACAGTGTTCAGATTCCACTGTTGAATACACTAGACTGGAGTATATAGAAATACTGGGTCACCACCCAGTAACTGTAACTTCTTTAACTATGTTCATAGATTTTATAAACCATGGTGCAATCTCAAAAAGGGTTCATTTTACTAACTGCAGAAGTAACTACTGTATTACAAGGAAGTGCCCACTATAAGGCTCTCTCCTCTACATAGGTGTCATATGAGTACAAGTGTCTGCATAGGAAAGTTATAAAAAAAAAATAAAAATTAACCCATGGCCATGGTTTATGTAGATTGTACAGATAGTTTATAAGTTTTTTTTTGTATATATAGATACATAAGTTAAAAAGTTCACATAACATTTATATAATTTATAATAAACATGCATGGCATGTCCTGTTTTTCAATGGTTCTATCTTTCCGTTTGCTTTTAACTAGTCTGTACAGACTCCCCCTCCCCTCTGTGGTAACATAATATTTTGATTATATATATGATTTATACATAGGCATTTATACAGTTTAAAAACCTGGTTTCCATATGGTTTCCTGGTTTCCATATCAATTTTCCTTGGAACATTTAATGTTCAATAGGTAGCTTTCTTGCATCTTACACACATACTTTTACGTCTTCTGTGATACATTACAGTACAGACACACTGAAAATGTAATCTATTCCTATTAACTGTAAACATGAACATTTCTTTACAGTCTGCATTGAATATTGTTGTCATCCGGAGAGGGATTTTTAAAACACTCCAGAAGAAAAATATTTTTGTTTGATCATCTACAATTGCACAGTAGCTATTTTAGACTCGATATATTGTAATGAAAAGTGATGACCAGTCACTGTACAATTGGCTAATGAACCCAACGACTGGGCCATTATAAGTACTCAATGAACTACAAGTTGACTAGCAACAATATGGTTGGAATTCTCGTCAACAAAGTATGAAAAATGAAGTATTCAACATTTCGAATGAAGGTCCTTTGCAAACAATGAGGGCCTGTTCATGTGAGCCCACTTAAGATCTCATATTTTGTCTATTTTCTTATTTTACTTTCCTAATTTTTTTTTATTTAGTAGAATTGTCAAATTATAGCACGAAATTTTCGCCCTTCTGGCCTTTTTTCGAAAATTTTTAACAGGTAAACAACTACTGTACGAGGTAAAAGTCGTAAAACGTCTCGCTAAGCAGGCTCATATAAACATGTCCTTAGTACAGTGGATTGTATATTTTACAAGCCACGTGAAAGATAAAATAATATTTTATACCTGGCTGGTTAACTACTAGACAATGTCGGATAAAGGATCGCTTAAACTGACCCGACTTGAGTGCACCTCTCCTGGACTGGAACATACCTAAAGATACAACTGAACAGTGTTTGTAATAAGTGAAACTGCTACTGGTACATTGTATGCGCGTTGCTACAGTATTCATAAAGGTTAATAGGATCATATAACACATTATAATTCATATGGTTAATAGGATATAACACATTTCTTTGTCAGACATCTTTGTAAATCCATGGCAAAGGGCCTTTGCTAAAAACGTCCAGAAGCTTTGTACTCTTTTATAGGCTTGCGTGTTTATACCTGTCAACCAAAACTATGTTTATACTGGATAGCTCTATAACAAAAAACTCTTATCACATGAGGCCGGGGCAGAAACAGCTTATTTCAGGACACTCGTTGCTTCGTGCCTTGTTGGCTAAGAACTCATACGCCTTCAGCTCATGAACACATAATAGTATTTACTAGATAACTGGAATGACCCTTGGGACCCCCTTAAATGGAATTTATTTCAAGTTGTTTTTCATGGGCTATGGGCAGAGAGCAGAACATCCTCCTTTAACACATGCATAAAAAATAATTTTGTATTTTGACCAATAAATGAGTGGAAATAAACTCTAGTGTGAAAACGAGGCTGCAGGGAATCCCCCGAGCCTCGGTTTCATGTTAAGCTTATTGCTTATTTTGTTAAAGTGCTTTTTATGAATGTGTTGAAGAAGGATGTTCTGCTTCTCTTCCCATAGCCCACGAGAAAAAAAACTTGAAATCCATTCATTTAAGGTGGTTGAAAACAGTGTAGCGGTGAAGTAATTACAGGAAATGTCTATTACACACACCATTTATATAATATACCTTACTTCACCATTGGTTTGCATTCAATAGAACCACCAATCATTGACTTACCATGTAGCACACTGTTCTTGATTTTCTCTCTTAATGAATGATTGCAAAATCTACATCTATTAACAGAGGCAAGCTTATATAGCCCACAGTAACAAACAGATGGATCATTGAACACTTTCTTAGGTATGTATGTGGCATTACTATTAGTTGGTTTGGAAATATTGTAACCTCTAGAGCGAAGCCAGAGCAGGGTGACATACTCATGCGTAAAGATTTGTTGCCACCGGTGCTGGTAAAGTGTGTTTTGGGAATACTTGGCTATAAAAACATGTTTAGCTTCCCTACTTTCCATGGAATTCAGCCCCAGACCCATGCCATACCTAGTCTTCATTTCACTCATATCCTGTGGAACCACATTGCCAACAGTCCATACAGTGGGGTTAACATGTAGAAAAATACAATGGGCTTTGTAATAATTTGAACACAGCCGCTTTAGATCGATAATATCATTGTCGGAAATATCTACACATGTAAAAATAGAGACACAATCCCTTAGACAAAGACAAATATATGCCAGGACATGTAAAATTAATTCCTCCCATGTACCTTTCTTTACACCACTCTGCACAGAAGAAATTAAAAGCATGAAATTTTGCAAGAATAACCGAGAATCTTTCCCAGTAAAACGATAATCAAACTCCCTCGCAGCAGATTTGGTTTCGTTAAACCATCTGATAACTTGGTTTGCCAACCTGGAGAGCTTGCATTTGCTTTTCATGGTCATTATATACTTACAAAAGGGAGAGCTTGCTGGAACCTGAGAAAATATAACACTTTCCACAGTGCCATTAACATTAACAGAAAATACTTACTTTTTAATGTGTGCTATCTCAACCATGAATTTAGAAATAAATCTCTTGACCAGTATACAATCCTCACTGCAATTGGCACCAAACAACAAGTAATTTTCATTGCTACTTAAAATACCTTTCCCTAGATTCAGGAAGCTCACCAACCAAGCACAAGCTGAATCGTACTTGCCAAATGGTACTCCATCTCCACCTAAGGAAACATAAAACTTGTTAACAAACCATACAAGATCAATTGGATTGGACAAATAAAATTCTGCAAGTGTTATTAGCAGTTCTTCAAGGCTTCTATAACACCCTTGAACCTTCTCTTCATCTGCAATGTCATCACATAGAGTGTCATATACACTATAAATGGTGCCAATGTTGATTTTTTTAACAAAGGGCATTAACTTATTATATGGCACAAGCAATGGGATTGGGCAACCACTAACAGCCATACGCTTTCCATTTTTTTCTTGCAACTTTGCTTTGGTAAGAAACAGCCCTGTACACTTTACGGTACTTTCTTTTTCCCATAATACCTCCACCATAGTACACAGCAACACTTCTCAGCATATTTTCTTCTGACCCTTCCAAGGTATTCAGAGATGTTTTGTAAAATTGTGGTAAGACAGACTTTCTAATTTTGGTTGAAGTAGAAAGAACCTCAACCAATGTTGATGTTTTACATTTAGCATTGACTGTATCATGCAGACCAATTTCTGCTGATCTACCTAACGAACCCCCACTGTGTATCTCTAAAGCTGTCTGGTATGTTTCTTGTCTACGTGTTCGAGATACTCTTTCACAAATCTCAACCTTACCATCAGCAAAGGTTGTTGGCATTTTCTTCCTGTTCTCCAATGCTCTTTCTGTCAAATACTTACCCTTCTTTCTAACTGATTCTACCTGCATTTCACGTTCTACCGCATCCAACTGCTCTAATTCATTCAGTGCTTTCTCTATCTATTCATTTAGACAGAAAATATAAAATACTTCATATAAAATGCTATTACACAACCACCGAGTCTATGTGGAATCCATGACAAAATCCCCACACAACAAAAACCCACTAACACCACTCCCCCACCAACAAAACTCTGACAATAAATCCAGCAACAGAAAAACCTAATTGCTGAATGCCAACAAAACCCTCAATTTCTGTTTATCAATTTCTTAAATTTATTGATCCAAACAAACTTAACCACATATATAAATTAGTGGAAATACTGTTAATTATACATAAGAGTTATGACAGTTATTATAATAGTTACATGATTTGACCGAAATGCTTTTGAGAGTCACCATGCATTCTGTTTTTGTTATGTAGATTGCTTTTGTCAGTTTGAGGTCCTGTTTACACAGCACCAGACAAAAATTTACATTGTTTCATGTGTTTACACATTACCAGACAAATATTTGAATACTTTCAGACTAGGTAGACAAAAGCTTGGGGTGAAAAACTTGTCCGGTTAGGCCGGGCCTGTGTAAACGGAAAGCCTGTGTAAACGGAAAGCCTGTGTAAACGGAAAGCGTATCTGAACAAATATTTGTCCCGACCAAAATTTGTCTGGTTCCATGTAAACAGGGCCTGAGTCATTGCTCATTGAAATTGCAAGCAAATCGTGCTACTAGAAATTTTTCTCAGTTTTTTCTATATTTCACTGAGGATTAAATTGCGTGGGTTTGTTGGCATTCATCAATTTGGGGTATTTGTCGGCAGGGTTATTGTCGGCAGGGTTTTTGTCGGTGTGGGTTTTGTCGGAGTGGGGGTTTATATCGGTATCCTGTCTGTGTGAGTACTAACAAGAATTTTTATACATACTTCTGATATTTGCTTTCAATAGCCCAGGATATTAATACACCCAGTCTCAGTTTTATTCCCATTAAAAATGGTATTTTTTCCGGCATATTGTTCTATACAATACAAAAGCTGGCAATGCCCTCAGACTGCACTACATCTAGCCGTTTAACTTCTCTGTCAAATTTTATATGATATGCAACCAATCCCTAAGGGGGTTCATACATTAATAACAGTGATTTCAATATTTTGTATAAAACACTCCTATTTCAAAGGTTTATTAAGTAAACTAACCTTGGAGTCATATTTCCTAACTTTTGCTTTGAGGGAGCGTAGCTGACTTCGCTTGCGTTCAACAATTTCATTCTCTTTTACAATCTCTTTACCAAGCGATTTCCTTTCCTTTCGAGATCGCATCAACCCAGCGATGTCAAATCGCTCTCGCCTGTCAGACATGACTATAAAATTCATGAATTTAAACAAATTAACACCACAAACTTAAAAACAAAAATCATACGATTGCCACTGGAACATCAAACCATATTATGATACCAAATATACAAGAAACAAATGTACACAGAAAAATCCTTCCCAAGGGTGAAAATAAGGTATTTTCACCAAATTATGGTAAAATAGCTTTTTGACTAAAAAGCCCAAACACAAAAATACACATAAAAGCTGTTCTATTTACCCTATTTTGAACATTTTTGGATCAATATATAGCTTGTTTATCGCTCGATCTTGAGCTGGTTCACTCGAATGAAATCCCCCCTGCAGAGACACAACAGGGAGCCCCGCCAAAAAAACTCTTTTTCGCACACACGTTAATTTGCCCCAGGCTCACAATAACATAAAAATCTCGCAAAAAAAAACATGCGACAGTGAATGTTCCGATTTTCGTGATTCTTGTGGTCGGCATGCACAGACATAGCATGATTAAATTTACTATAGTGTTAATCTTTTACTTTGCCTCTAGGTTTAAGGAAAGAAGCAATTTCCTTGCAGCTTCTGTGAAAAAGTGTGCAAGTCCAAAGGTGGCCTGACAAATCACCAACAAAGCAAACATGTGGCAGAATTAGGCGAGAGATCATCTTCATCTGAAGATTTAATTATATCAACGGAAAAAAATCGCTGGTTTAATTTGTGACATTGGTTGACACTTGATTGATGAAAAACTTTATAAAGAGGAACATACATCAGAGGTTTTTAAACTCCAGCCAAGTGATTCATTTGTCAGTTTCATCAATCGGCTGTTATTGACATTTAATAGAAAGAAAAATCAGAACAAATTTCTCAAAGAGTTTTATGGCAAAACAAATTCAAACTGGAAAGAATATTTTCATCCGTATGGAGAAAAGAAGGTTGTTTTTCTTATGCTTATCCATCTCCCTGAATGCCTGATTGGATTTCTGAAGCTAAAGCAAGATGACCAAGGGCAAGGAATACCTGAGGTACAGTTGATTGTTGTCAAAATTCAGACGTTAGACCAACCTGAGTAGTGATAGCAAGAAAGTATCACAAAAAAAAGAGGGTGTGTGTGAACTTACTTGATTTAATAGTAATTAGAATTAAAAACGAAAGTGAAACAATGTCAGAATGTGTATTCAGGGAGAGTACGGACGGGGGGAAATTTATGGGCGTTACCCAAGGGCGTGACAAGGAGCGAGTCGAAAGATGTGCGCACATTGCGCATGCGTGAGGGAACCCAAAGCCTCGGTCGACCGACCTGATTTGCGATTTGAATTTCACGCATATTTAATCACGTTGGGGGCGGTGCGTAAGTGACGTAAATGCGGGCCGGCCAAGGGACGGTCGGTCTGTGCGGGTAACAAATTTTATTTTTTAGGTTTTTAAACATGTTTTGCAAGTTTTTTTTATCGTTTTTCAATGTTTTTTTAACGTTTTTCAACGTTTTTTAACATTTTTCGACACTTGCAAAATGTTGGGTATAAAAAATTCAATGTATTTCAATGTTAATAAGTTTTTATTTTAAAATGTGATAGTTTATTTACAATGTGTTAGTGATGTTTTTTAATTACTGTTGTTCTTTAATGCAGTAGTTAGTACAAATTCTGCTGCATTGATTCTAACTAGCATGTCTCTTTGTTCCTTTATAATTTCCAACGCTTTTTTTTCGCATCTCAGCAAACAATTCATATGTTAGGTACTGCTTGTTGGTGTCCACTGTAATGTCGTGTTTGCACTTTGTAAGGATTGTTCTTGATCGTTTTGTCTCGTCACCAAGACTGCTAAATAGTGTCAATGTTTTTTTTGTTAAATGCACAGCTTCCACGTTTTTTTTTCTTTTTGCGCCGGTGGGGGTTAGGTTCCGCTGTTCTTCCTCGAACGTACGTTTTGCCATCGCAATGTCCTTTCCACCGGGTGGTGGTTGGGGGGTTGCTGGTGGTGTGTGTAGTTGTGGGGGGTCAAAAGTGTGTTGAATTCCCAACATTGCAGTTTGGTCGGTGATTCTTTTGGAGGGTTTATAATTTCTTCTATAGGTGTAGCTTCTGTTTGCTGTTGTGGGGAAAAGGTAAAGTTCATAAAGGATCCGATATCCGGGGTTATATTTTGCAATTGTTGAAGTTTAACAGGTGTTGTGGTAAGATCGGGTTGTAGGATTTTGGTAGGTGGTTTCACAATGTCGTCGGGTATGTAGGGTCCTTTCTTGGATATCTGCCACTTGATGAAGTTTTGCTCAAATGAATTTTGAGCGTATAATTGATTGTATTTATTGAATTCATTAAACAAGTTAAACAGTGCAGCGATATTTGTCTTGTCGTTTATTACAATACCGCATAATTCGAGGAATTTGAAGAAATCTGTATTAGGAACCACATTCATTTTTGCAAACGTTTTTTGTAGCCACGTACGCTTTGAGATGCTGTCGGTAAATGCGAAATTATATTAATGCGAAATTATATTAAAACGAATATGTTTCTAGTAATGATATGACCGTATATGGTTAAATCGTTATAGCGATGCAAGTATTGTTTTATCAATGTTTATATGTGTTTTTAGCAACATAAATACCCATGACCTTATACGGTTATTAGGGTGTATTGTAGTAGTTATCCATATATGGGTATATGATTTTTGTAAAACTGCTACTTAACTATATATGGTCATGTATAGTTAAAATGTTATTATTAGTCAAGGTCGTACACACACTATGGAGGTCATTGCGAAAATATTTTTGGAATGTCTGCGGTATATATTTTTGCAACAGACGAGATTTATATGGAAAGTTGTGTTAGTTTTGTTTATGTTGATACTACTTTATGTTAGCAGCTACTACTTTGATCTAACTGTGAAGGATTTTATTAACACCTTACAACCAGTATTATTTGTGTACTACCGATTAGGAAGAGGTATGTCTACTTTGAATGATATTATGGAAGGTTATAGATTTGATAAAGCATTAAATGGGTTTTGTGGTGATTTATTTGGTGCGAAATTTTGCCCTAATAAAATAAAGGTATTTCATAACGGTTATATGCTTTCCGATATTTGGGCTATTGTAATGTATGATGATGGTGCAGATGTTAGACATTGGTTTAAGTTTTGGCAGTTACAACAGCAACGCTGTCATCTCTATGTAGCAGAAGTGAAATGGTACACAGTGGGTTGTAATATAATATTCCCTACTGATATGTTACAAGGCCATTTTGCTAAGTTTATGGGTGTATTTCATGAAAAATGTTTCTATAGTGAAAGAGAAGAAACTGATTTGTGTATTGTAAAAGAAATTTTGAAAACCACTAACGTATTGGTTGCGTCACAATTTGTACATTTACAGAGGGATTTATATTTTGGTCGTAGACTATTAGTTTGTCTAGCCGATAATGGGAAAGATATGGTGGTACAACGGGATTATTTTTTTACAATTTATTAGTTTTAGAAGAAAAACATGTCGAGGTTAGAAATTTGGCAAGATGATGAGACCATAATATTCAATATATTGATGTGCAGGAACCCTTTGAAACCTATTTGGAGGATGAAAAGTTATCTGTACTGAGGGACATCAACAATGATTATAAATTTTTTGATTATTATCTGCATTTTGGAAGGGATCGTGCTATCGAATTACTGGGTGGGCGGTCATGGCCCATGTTATTTCTTCAGGGATATGTGACAAAGATGCCAAGTTTTTATATTTACCTTATAGATATTGAAGTAGACGGTCAACAGACAATAACTGTCGGTATAGCACATTGGTTATTGGGAATTTATGCGGAAGTAGAGATTTATTATCACATATATCTGGAGGTTTTTAACACGGACAAACTGATTTTTTACCGTTTGTTACATTTACCGGTTTTAAACTGGACTATGTTGAACAAGACAATCTTACATGTGCGCAAGTGAATAACTTTGTGCAAAGAACAGTTCAAACGACGATAACAAAGATCGAGAATTGTAACGAAATGGACGACACACAAAAAATAATTCGTGATTTGAACAACGAAGAGGGTATTTGGCTATCAACACGTATGACGCAAGTGTTGGTCTACAATCAACGTTTGGTAAAATGTGTAAGAGACATGATGCTGAATGAATGTGAATGTAAAGAAGATATAGATACACAGCTTTGTCCTTGTGAAGTGTGGTCAAAAACGGCAATAGATAAGTTTAAAACATATTATATTGACGCTAAACGTATAGCTAGTGATGAGGTGTTTTTTTGCCACCGATTGACAAGAAGGGTATTGAACTGCATAAGTGTTTAAAACTTAAAACTTGTCGTATTGCGAAGCCGTTTTCGAACAGATTGGTGTTGTGTGCATATAATCATATTTACCATGGTGTTGCCAATTGGTTGTATCTTACAAGTTTGACAAGAACACCGTATGGTTGTATATATATGTTCACAATATGCAGTTTAACGAATGCAGCTTTTCACGGACATGTAAATTTTGAGGTAAAATATTTACCTACTTTAAACGGTGGTAATGTTTGTTTTGATACAATGGGTGTACAATGTTTAGGAGATCAAACATGTACTTACTCTCTTGGTTTTATCGACCGTGAAACAGACTATAGTTATGAGGATTTAGTTTAAAAAATTTTACGTAGTATTTTATATGCTGCTCAAGCTAAGTTAGATGTTAAGTATGTTAGACAACAAATTATGAAAGTTTTTTTGTAATAGTGTCGCATGATTTTATATGTATGCATTATAAAATGATGACACAAATGTGTAAAAATATGATATTGCTTGATGAACAGTGTAGATGTTCTACGTGGTTAACGAGAGAACACACGTGTAGCTGTAAAAAGTTATGTCTTCATTCCTTACGATTACATATTGAACATGTATTATTAGATATGTAAAATGAATAGATAAAAGTTAATTGTCTAATAAAATAAAAAGTTTACTTTCAAAAAAACTATTTGTGGGTAGCTGTTGTATAAGAATGGAGGGTTTATTTCAGCGAAGACATAATCAATTATCCGAGACCAAGGTGAGAAAAATCAATGAGAACAAAAAAGAAATAGTGTCTAGAATTACACATGTGATAGATTGTGAAGCGTATTCAAATTCTAAAAAGGTATTTCTTCGCGAAGTTTCGGTTTATTGAGTACAAACTCACGAGTGTGCTTCATTTCAAGTTTATTTACCATTTTTACCTTTTAATGAAACAAATTATACTATTGCTTATCAAATTTGGAATATAGACGGGTTACCTATTGTGCGTGAAAGACTGATGAGTGATTTTTATACACTGGAAGAGGCAATGCTATTTGTAACAAAGGAATTTACTAGCAGTGCCGATTTGGTCGCCTACAAAGGTGGTGATATTGAACGTAAATTATTAAACAATATGGGTGTACGATGTATTAACCTTGAAATATTTGCATGTCCCAAGTATAACGAGTTATTGACCAAATATGGTTATGTTCAAGAATGTTGCCCGTATCATATGGCAAACACATTTCATTGTTCAAAACATGAGGTGAAAGTTTTTACATGGTTTGTAGAAGAGTTAAAAGGGATAGCAGCAATATGAAAATAAAACGTCTTAAAACACCTGTACGAAACGCGGTAGTCTCAGCAATGTCAACTAAAATTAAGACGTATGAGGAACGGTATGGGTATGAGATGTCCAAGTCTTGCAAAATTTCGGCTTTATCATATCTATTATTGAAACAACCGTACAACCCAATTTTGTGGGTTTTGTATTCGCTAAACAGGTTTTTGTACGGTTGCAAACCCGCAGACTTTGGAAAGAAAGAAGTTTTGATTCGTGATTATTATCGTTGTGATGATCATTGGTTAGAAGGAAGTTTCAACGATACTCGCGACATAATAGCTATTGACGATGTTGGAAATCCACGTACAGCACTTGCAACATTGTGGGCGCCAACCATTCAAGATGTAACCATTAAACCATTCAACGATTTAAAAACGCTTTATCATATTCCAGTGGAATGGATCCCATATATCGCAACTCGCGAACACTCGTTTGTTCTAGTACCCTTTAAATTTTGTTGTCGTGAAGTTTTGGTTTGTTCAGCAACGCAAATGGTACGTTGCCAATCGATGACAATTGAACCACAATATTTGTTTGATTTGACTTATTTCCATGTTGGTTGTGGACCATGTCGTGACGATCGTGAAATTAGGGTTGAGGTGATGGCTGCTTTACCCATACATGTTGGTATTCACAATTTGATGAAAATATTGCAAAGGTATGATTTCCTAAATGCATGTGAAATGCTATATGCTGTCAGACGGTATAAAGAACGTTTACATTTTTATACTAGTGAAAAAGAAGAGGACGTGGAAATGTTGAAGGTTAGTGACATTAGGAAATATCTAGCGCATATTTTAGTTTGTAGAAATTGTCATCAGTATTTGTTTAAATTTATGACCTTGCTAGATTGTAGTGTGTTACATCACCCATATCCCCAACATACAGACGTATCAAAGGATCTTCTTAATGATGTGGGTATTCCCATCTTTGAGTATGTCCTTGATGCCGATTTTGATATTTTAAGAGACAAGGCTTATTATGGTATATCGGATGACATAATATTAGATGGTGAGGGTGTATGTTATATTGTTGATAATTTTATGAGTAAATACGTGTTGCCTGTTTCAAGCGATGGACCGGTCATCGTATAATTTAAAGCAATTATGTCGGACGTATTGTATGCTGGGTAACACGTTCATATTATATTATGAAGATGGTGAAATATTTGGTTTTGTCCATATAAGGACAGATGTGAATGATGTATTAGCAAAAATACAGAAATATTTTACATGTATTTCAGCGTTAAAAAAACAGCACTATATAAATATTGTGCAACGTTTGGGAAATAAACATTTACGATATACGGGTGATTTAACGTTAACATTGGCGATAGTTGTAAAATGAATTCTGAAGAAAAAGTGTTAACAACAACTAAAAAATATTTTGATGGTTCAACCAAGACCTATTATTTTGAAACATTTAAAGATGTAAAAGTTATAAATTCACTTCTGGAGAAGTATCTTGAAGCAGACGATATACAGGGTGTCCAAAAAAAAAGTGACACTATAGAAATTATCCTATTGTTATCATTTGAATGCCCTAGCATTAAGTTGATCCCACAGGTGCATAAACTTCTGCTTCTGGAATTTAAAATAAAAAAGCAAACCATTTATTAGTGTAATCGTTTTACTTGACTCGGGCGTTAAAATATTTGGACAAAGCGAAAACGTTTTGAAATGCTTAAGTGTAAATACAAGTTCATTAAATTCCCAGGCGTGTAATCACGCGTGTTTAAGAGCGGCTTAAGAACAATGAGATAATTTCTATAGTGTCACTTTTTTTTGGTACACCCTGTATGTTATTATCGTTATTTAACATATCCAATATTCGATGAACGGTTCAAAAAATGGGTTAAAACTATCGGTATTTTACAATTTGATAAAAGAATTAGTAAAACAATGCTTCAAAGAAAATTCGAGACCGATAATGTGTATATGGACGTGTTACAACCCGCAACAAAACCTGTAATATTATTCCATATGAAGATGTATGTGCTTGCCGAACATCACGGTTTGATATACAGTAAAGATACAAAATCGTCAAACACACCCTTGGCTTTGGTGGGAAAAAAAACTATGAATGAAGCAAGATATGTGCAACCTTATGTGAAAGTGTTGAAATTGTATGTAGACTATAATAAACCTGACTTTCCATATAAGGGTATGTGGGGTGCTCGGCAACTTTGTAAGTTTAAATATAGACTAGTGAAATTATCATCAACAATTAATTTGTAGAGAAAATGGGATGACCTTATATGGTTACGATAACTATAAAAGTAGTGAGACAATGAGACAATAGTTAGTTGCGAGATGACCTTGTTGGGGTTTTTATCGTCGCGCAGTACAAGATTTAAGAAATGATTTGGTTGTAAATATGACGTTTTGATTAAAAAATAAATCCTTGCTTTTTAATTATGAATATTTACAAATTGTATTTATTCACGTATAAACGTGTGAGGTTTAAAAAAATGAAACAATGATGTCATCACAGTTATCAAGTATAAATTAATCGACGATATATTTTGTGGTTTAGTAGTGAGTTTTCCTTGGCCACGAATTAGTAGCGAAAGGGCACAAAGTATAAAGTCAAATTATAACAAAAGTATAGGTTTAAAATATATAGAAATGTTTAAAAACACGTTGTTAATGAATGCATTGGTGGAATAACACGTCGTTCAAATAACGCATCGGTGAAAAAACAAGAGACACACACACAAAGAAAGTTTAAGGTATGTATTTTTTATTGATGATATTGATAAACTACAGGCATATGGTTTTTAGGTTGTCGTTTTTCACCACGTGTAGCAAATCCAATGCCTGATCCTTTTTGTTTAATAGCACCACTTTCTTTACCCATATCAACCCAGGGTTTAGCAACATTTTGTTTTCTTTTTTGACACCGTTTTGAATACGTTCTTTTTGCTTGTTTAACTCCTTTGCACCACATCCCAGTGTCGTCGTTCAGCACTGAACGACAGCAAGAAATTTAATATCTTCGGTTCAGTGCATGCTATGAAGACAGAAATACCACCATTCGATTCAGAAATAAAAGATTCAACTAATTCCTCCCTATAGTTATAGTCATTATCAACATTGTAGCGATTTATGGGCTTTTGAAAGTCAAACACGATCATATTGTATCAAATTACGCAATTGTCTGAACAAAACTATAGACTAGCCGTACCTTTCGCCGAAAATAACTTCAGCCCCTTCGAACATATTGTAATAGTCTTGTTAGAATCCCCATTAAAAACACTACTGAGAGTGTTATTTGCAAGCCTGTATCTTCAAATCTGTATCTTTTATCAATATATTTCCATTTCTTGTCTGACTGTGAGCTCGAAGTGAGTTAATCCCAACCGGAAATACGACTGAAAACCATCAAAACAATGCGAAGCTTGTATCGTATGACCCTGCAAAGGCCAGAAATGGATTCGCAAGGTGAAATTGCACCCACACGCGTGAGTTTGACGTCATCCCGGGTACAGGAGCTTCTTATTGGCCAATTATTGCGCAATGTACGCAAGTGCAAGTAAAACCTGACATCTTGAAAAATTCAAAATAAATATTTCTACTCGCCGTATTCAAACAAAATTTTGTACACGAAAGCGCTTGAATACAAAGAGTATTTTACACATATAGCCGTTCGGCAAATGACAAAATGTTCAAGAGATATTCAAGATCTTGTGTATATGAAATTTAGAATCTTTGGCCAAGCGGTGAGTAAATATATGATTGTTTCAGTTTGTGTAATGTTCAGACGGCACTTGACCCCCCATTTGAAAGGTTATTTTGTGAGGATTACAATGGTGGTATTTATTTAAAAGGGGGGTAAATACTGGCTGAGATATTTATATTAAAAATTGTGTCGTAATATGATGCGAAAGGGGGTGGTCGAAAAAGAGTTAAAACACCAGCAGCAGCAGTTATTAACATATCTTTAATTGAGGGCCCACCCCCATATGCGCTTCCTCCAGTTTGACGTCTTCTTTTTCGTCTTATTAAACCACCTTTCTGTTTTCTTACGCCCAACCCCAAAGACCTTGCAAATGCGTGACCTGCATAACTTGACATGTCTACACTCTATAAATGTATTACCCTGTTGTACATTGTTATTTTATAACCAATATTCATTACCGTACGATGTTAATATTTCATGATGTGGAGGGATTCGTTTTGAAGCTTTTAATCGGAAAGCTTGATTACCTCGTATAATGCTGTTATTTTTAAAGGGTGTATTTCTAGCATCATAAGCAAATCTTGCCGCTGCATCAGTTGTATGGTTTGCATCGACACAATGGCCCCGCGCATTACAAAGGGCGTATTTTGGAACCAATTCACCGTATTTTTTATCAATTTTTTGTTTGGAACGCCGTCTACCTGTATATTTTGAAATTATAGCCCAGCGCGGTATTGTTTTTTTCCAACTATATAACCCTTTTCCAGCGTTTATAATTTTTGATGGTTTAATATGTAGGTTATCTCTTGTTTTGCTAAATGAATCCAACATTTGGGGGTGTGTGTTGTATGTTTTCAACAACGTCTTTGATATAATGTTTCGGCAACACATTGTTTTGATTTTCGAATACTCGATTACTAATAGGGTAAACGTATTCTCCGTCTATAATTTTGGTTGTCAACATATTTATCCAAAAAGTTATTTATAAAACGATTCATTTTTATACGGGATACACAATACCGACACTGATATAATCGTCGTAATTTCTTTCAATATATTGTATGATTCTTTCAATTTTAGACTTTATATGTTGTGGAACATGTGATTCCCACATGAATGCTTGTTTCCTCTCACACAGGTTGATCAGGTGTTACACCATATATAATATTGTGATCTTTGCGAAACTGTCAAGTCCTTCGAGGAACGTAACAGGTGTGAATATTATATTTGGGTCATTATCCTCAACTTCATATCCTATTGTATATTTTTCATTTTCTTTCTTAGCCAATTTATTCTTTACGTATATTGAGACGTGTATTGATAGATTGCTCATTGTATTTCTGAGACTTGATACGGCAACAGGCAAACTAAAAATGGGTCAAAAATGTTTTAAGGGTGGTGAAGACACCCCTTGGGTAACATGTAAATTTATAGTTGTAAATAAAAATAATAATGTCGATATGGATTTTGCAGACGGTCAAGAAAAAGAAAATAAAGAAGAGAATCCTTGCTGTTGTTTAACATGGTGCAGCCGGCAGAGAAAAAGAGAAAAGACAACGATGGAGAAGCCGTAGACAAAAAAACGGTGGATCTAGTAAGGAAACTTTTTGATACTTTAAATACAGAAGAGCAACGGGAAAAAAATATTCGTACAATCGCTAGCATGGTTGTGGAAAATAATAGAAAACAAAATTTAGTAAAGCTTGCAAATATGGTTAAAAATAATACTAACCGGCGGCAACGACCACAACGACAACAGAATAGTTACAGAATTGAGGATCGTGATATTAAGGAATTAGCAAAATTAGTAAAAAAGAAACAGGGTATTAATGTCCCACGAACGATGTTTTCAATACATGAAATACGTAGACATAATCGTTTTGGGTATACAGAATATATATTTGATGTAAATGTTGGTAGTGAACATATGCGTACGCTTCCTGATTTTTTAATAAATCTTCGTAAAGTATTTGAGTATTTAATTAATACGATGAAATACTATGCGGAATCGAATAACTCAAAGGCACAATTTTATATCTCGAATGCCCCACACACCCCTTTTTCAACAGCTATTTTAAACGTGTCTGATTTTACAACGGATATGTTTTTTAACATATTCGAATGGCACATGCAAAGTAACGCACAAGAGATAATAAATAATGGTTGGCACACAAATGTTAGCTTGTATATTTTTCCAAATTCCTACATACCATGTCCGGCTAGGGAAACAAACAAAAAACAAAAACGCATGTACAAAAATGTCGGAAAAGCTGATGCAGAGTCGGGTAGTGGAAAAAAAATGATGTGGCATCAAAACACGGTCGCGAAGTGCGACACAGTGTTTTTCAGATTGGCAAGTCGAATGTAAAAAATGGGTGTTTGACTTTAGCGTTATTAGTGGGTAAATCCTATTTGCAAAACGGTACAATTGCACAAAAGTTAACTAGAAATGGAAACCTTACATTAAACGAACTATACAGCAACGATGATGTAACAAACGTATACACAACCAGCGGGATACCTGTAGGACCGGTACGTGTCAGTCAACTTCACCAGGTTTATGAGAATTATTTAAAACTGGACGGTATTGATTTAGTATTTTTTTCCAAAACACACCATGATACAATTGTTTACGATTCGCGAGTAGATGTTAACCAACATATACATCGGATTACAAATAATGTTATATTCCTTTGGCTAAACGATTCGCACTACGATCTTATATTATCGCCGTACATGTTTTCACTTGCAAATTTGGAAAAATTTTGTTTTGCTTGTATGTGTTACTTCCGGCATGCTGAAATGAAAACAACACATGTTTGTAGAACATCGTTAACATGTATGCGGTGTTATTTTTCCACAACAAAATGTTTGAAAGAGCCCAAGTTTGAACAACAATGTACCGAGTGTGATATTTCACAACCGTCAATGTTTTTTTAACCATTGAACGCAAAGGACATTTAAAACTGTTGTCAATGGTGTACCCACGATGGAAACAGCGTGTCAGCGGGGTTTTTTCTGTGTCACATGTTATAAAATTGTAGCGCGAAAAACATGCATTAATAGTAAGAAATATACAAAGCATAAATGTGATGAAATGTTCTGTCTACACTGTAATAAGGTTAAAAAAAGGATCATTGTTTTATTAAATCCTTGAAACAGCCTGTAAATCCAGCACATCCAACATTATATTTCTATGATTTTGAAACGCGCCTTGATGAGGATGGTTACATGATACCGTTCTATTGTGTAATTCAAAAAGTGTGCACGGTGTGTAATGAGAAACCTTTTATAAAAAACTACGAGCTTTTTTTACCACACCCATCTGACGCACACTGTGACATTTCCGTCGAACCGGTACCATGCTGTGAATACAGACAATATGTTTTTGAAAAAAATAACGACGACATAGTGGGGGAATTAGTTGACTTTATTTTGACACAGCCTAAGGGTAGTGTATGGATTGTGCACAATGGAGGACGTTTCGATAATACTTTTTTAATGTGTGAATTGCTGGTTGAACGTAAAATTGAATAAATAGCATGTATCATCTTGTTTTCAATAATCATACTGATACTCGAGATATTGAATTGATTGCTCGAAATAAAAGGTATTCGATTACCGATAGTACGAAAAATATTAACAGATGTTGGAAAAAAAACAATACGGATATATACTGTTTGACGGTTGTGCACACTCGCCGGCAAACACCCGCGTAAGAACGGGTATTTTACCCGGTGAGTGTACAACGATATACGATGTAGACAAAGAATTTGTGTAAATAGTGTTTTAATTAAAAATTTAAAAATTACAAATGTTTATTGTATGCTTCTAGATATGTTTTACAAATTTGACCTTTATTCTTATGACATTTACGTGTGTATACGCTAACCATATTTGGAAATTTTGTATACGCAATAGTTTGTAATTTTATTTCGTTATTTAATAGCTCGTCTTGTTTAACATCAAACATATCAAATGTATCGTAACAAATCCAATGTGTGCCCGACTTATCGTCTTCATCCGTATTCCACACCCAACAACATTTAGCTATTACACCTTTCGGGTGAACATTTGCAGGATAACACCCCAAATAAAAAGGTTTGATAGTCGGACTTGTTTTTGCAAATTTATTAATATCATCTGTATCTAAAAATTTACTGATAAAACAAGTTAATGTTACCATAATGATGGTGATTTTAAACCAGGGTTGATTGCAAATAAGGTCGCTTTTGCCGTGTGTATCTTGAATGGGTCTTGGATTGTGGGGGTGTAGGAATCATACTCTTTGGGGGAGCCGTTGTTTGTGTACCATTCAATACTGCTTTATACTCCTCTTTTAGTTTCTTATTTCTTATATAGGAAATTGGCATACGTGTTTTTTGTAGAAGCAACAATACTCGTCTTTGTGCATTCGCACCTAAATTGGGTGGTGTACGAGTAAAATTACGTGTTAAATCCATTATGATATCGTACAAGATATTTATTGTAGTCTCACCAATTCTTACATCCTCTTCTGGAGTTGATTTAATACCCTTTGATTTAAAATGTTTATTAATTTGTGATACGGACGATGCAATCGTGCCGGGTTTAGGTACAGGTGTTTGTCCAGAACCCCCTGCATCAGCAGGATCGACTGAACTTTCATCGGGGTTAAGACCTAACGATTTTCGATAATTATCTCCTTTTCTTAGATAATTAATAATATCTGTGCCTGCTAATGAGGATTTATGTTTTACAGACTGTAATACGGTATTATGACTTTCGATAAGCCCCGCCTCCTCCGGTGTACGTGTTGTATCATCCAATAGTTTTTGTCTAGCGGTATTATTTTGTAAATGCTCCATGAGGGTGTTCAATTTTTCAGCGTCTATTAGAGCTAACCGCTTGACGTTTTCCCCCATTTTGTATTTTTTGCTTTCGTTGTTCTAAAAGCTGTATTTCCTCTAGTTTTTTAACAGCCTTGCGTATATATGCGTGTATGCAGAAATCTTCGACAAATGTGAACGCTCTATCCTTTGTCGGACAATCTTTATCTATAATATATTCCATAACATCTCTGTCACCTGGTGCCACATCAATATGTATTTTATTGGCTACTATTAATTCCAAGATATGTAATAAATTGCGGGTAACAGTTGGTGTAATCTGCTCTGCTTTTTCTTCCAAATGTAATTTTAAAAATTTGTTAATACTCGGCATAATTCTGTTCTCTCTTTTTTTCATAAGGTTATTTTTTTAACTGAAATAATTGTAATATAAATGAATTTATGGCTTCTTCATCTATTTCGTTATTTTCATAATTTTCGACGCTTTTATTTTCATCACCATTATCATCATCATCACCTTCATCATCATCATCATCTTACCCCTCATATTCGTGTTGTTGTTGTTGTTGTGCTTTTTCTTCTTCATCAATTTCAATGGGTGTGTGGGGATGTGGTTCTTCCATTTGTTGTTCACAATAATTTTCATTCTCTTCACCCTCATTACTATCATTTATATTACCGTCATTATTTTCAAATAATTCCGAACATTCTGTGTTTATTTCACCCATATCTAGATATTACGCTATGAATAGGAATAGTTTGTATATTTACACCTTTACCGCTAATGATTTTAGGGTTTGGCGGTCGTGGTTGACAAACAAAAGATTCGTTTTGCTTTGCAGCACTGGTTTTTAACGTCTTACGTATGCAACCCATAATGCAATATGAGCTTATATGTTTTTTACACATCATATTTTAAACGAGCTTCTGTACCATAACCTACACTCAATTGATTGCGGAATTCTCCTACACAAATAAGCTGTTGTGCAGCAGCGGTATCTTGTCTAAAATCTAATTTGATACCGACATTACCACTTGTTGAATTTGGTAAGACTTGAGAATGACCATTGCGATTTGGGGATAAATCATTGACTATGATTCCATAGTCTGTAACATAATCATCATAAGAAAATGGCATTTCACTATAGTGACAATCCAAAATTTGTCGTAAATTAACGTACGCGTCTTGTGAACTGTGATAAACAGGGGGTATTTCAGCTTCATTAATGGTGACGGTAAAATTCGTGATATCTGGAAACGCGATATGAAATAGGTTTAGGGTGTACGCCCCATTATATCGGTCTTGTGACACAATTTTTGTAATTAGTCGACCAGGATGAGCACCATTAAATATATCTTTGTGGACAATATGTCGACTATTTACCGGTATCGGGAATGCCACATAACGATAATTTGTACAATAAAATCAGCATTCTTCATTCTTTTGTATCATCAACTCATTAATAGCGGCACTTAATTGAGCATTTGGTTTTAATATGGGTATGGATAATTCAAAATCATTATAACGAGGATCATAAGGTATCATAAGAGTAATACTTTCTTCCGGCTTATAACCACTGGGTACAGCAGTGAGTAAATGATGAATATATTCAAGCTCATTTTCTTTACCTGATTGCGGACTAATCAATTGATTATTTAGGTAAACCTCTTTTGTTTTCCAACCAAATTTCAATGGTGCCATATTTACACTAATCACTCAATCAGCAGCAGGGGCGGCATTAGTACCAGTAGTGTGTAGACGTAATTTTGCTTTTAGCTTGGCATCTTGTGTGTCTAACACACCATAATCCTGACGATTATGCATAAATGTATAGATTTCACCCCGATTGTTAACAGGTGATGCTATTATCGATAAACTATGTGTTTCATCAAACGTATCATTATGCGGGAAAGTATCAAGCAATGTCATAGGACCCACAAATCCACTATCATGTTCTTCTACAGGTTCCGCTTCGGGGCCATGATGTGCATGTTTCATCTTGACGACGTTCAAGTTAAAAATGAATTTTTTTCCAACGTGTAAATTTTAAAAAGAAAAAACACAAAAACAAAAGTGTTATTTTTGAAACATTTATTCATTCATAAATTTTTACATTATTTTTTATCTTTAATAATCATCATAATCATAACGTCTACATCTATATCTACGTGGCGCAGGATCTGTCATCCATTGTGGTTGGGGTAGCGGTCTATATTGTCGTTGTGGTGGTCGTTGATTCACACTTGGTGCAGGTCGTTGAGCGGGGTTTTTTCCAAATATTAAACTACCGACAATACTTGTACCCGAATTTAATAACATTGGTAATGCCATCCCTATAGCCATTCCTGCAGCTGGTCCCAACCCACCACGCTGTTTTTTAAAACCACATAGGTTTTTAACGCATTTATTTTTGCTTTTCGTTTTTTTAATGTTCTACGTTTACCGACCCCCATAAATTAATCGTAATATGTCCGGATGTATATCGGGTTTTTGCTGATGTGATGCCGATGTGATCTTGGAGTTATTTTTCCAACTCTTTGTATTTTAGGGTTCACACCGTATTCGGGATTTAGTTTAGGGGGTGCACAAATTTTACCTGCAGCATGCTCTTCAACAGTCGCTGCTTTGCCTGGTAACATATATAAACCTGTTCTTTTAATATTGTTGACCACCACCTTTCAATCATTTTACATATGCATCCTTGTCCATTGTAAATCCAAAAATGAATGATCAACTTTCATCATATATATTTAACCAAATCTCCAAGACCTGCCTGCGGCTGAGCTGTCCAGTACTCGAAGAAGCACCATAAAATATTATCGAAAATTTTACTGTTTTATCTAATTCGCCAACATTATTTACATTAATCAAATATTGTGGTACCGATTGTTTTGATATACTCTCACTGTTTGTAATAAATAATAGATGTTTTCGCAAGGTATAATAATGATAGGTATATTTAAAACGAAGCAGATCATGTTTATAATCTTTACCCTCATAAAATACACCCTTTTTATCATTAATTTCTGCACCGGTTAACTTATTTGAAGCATCAAATTTTCTAGATGTATATATACAAAAATGTCCTGCAATACCGGTGTGTTTGGACAGCGTATAATATGATTTTTTGCCCGTCAAGTATTCAGATGAAACAACACCATTTGTGTATTCATATTCGATAGGTACAAGATCTACAGGTCTATTATCTGAAGTCTCGGAACTCGAAATTTTATCCTTCAACCGCACACTCAATATTAACAGTACCACCACTGAATGGTATTAATGTATGTGTTGTATCATATAAACCGATATTAAATTGGTTGATTCTACTTTTAATTAATTTACATCTGATATCCGTTGGTGTGTACACACATAATGAACCGTTTCCTCGTTCTTTGGGTTTTAAATGTACCATTGCAAGTAATCTTCCATATGTATCTCCAACAATTTAGTTCTCGACCTCACCACAATATATAAACATTTTATCAACACCGTCCGATATATATCGGGTAAGAATGCCCCCATATATGAACATGCAAAACCGTTAGTACCTTAACCGTTAGTACCTTCATTACCTTTATTCATAAAATGGAACCAGGTATATTTAGCAAATATTTCTGCATTAACGAACGAACCCGTACGAGCGTAAACTATTATTTTCGTCATGCCTAATATATACTGCAATGTTTCTGTTAGTTCAATTTCTAATTCGTCACACTCCTTGGTTGTTTGAGAAAATACTTGAAAGATTTGTTGAGAATTACGTGTTTGTACTCTAATGGTCTCATCGGAAAACCAATACTCTCGCTCGATATTATAGGTGACACCAATTCTACCACCGTGTAGAACTCTAAAATTCACATCGTATTAATCTCCGTATGAATTAATAACATGTATTAATTTTTCCAAAGTGTAATACCCTGCAGGAATATACATCATATTGGTTTTATATTTAACCTCTATACCCGAATCAGAAATGGTCGGGAAACTAAGTTTAATACAGATACCACAACATTCCTTTTGCACATTTTCAATAGTCAACGGATACGATATATTCAAAACACGCATAAACATCTCTTTATTTTCAGCATCCAAGAGAGTGGGTAAAGGCATTACAAATTAATTGGTGTAATTTGTACCACCAACTTGATTTTTAGCATTACTTACAATTTGCAAATTCATATTGTCTGTAGTTCTCGACGATAAAATATACCCTTGATCTCCTCCCCCTTTAAGTCTTTGAGCATATAGGTTACAGGATCGGTAATGTACACTTTTTTAATACGAAATCGTTCTTTTACCCAACAACGTAAACTTGATTTTTCAAAAACATTATTTTTACTCTTGCTATTCGTACAATAGTACCCTCTTTCAAAAGCCCTAATGTTGGAGTGCTGTTGTTTAGAATGCTTTTTGGTTTTTGAAAAGCATCCGGTACTCTACCTTTCTTATATACATCAAAAGGTGTTAAATTATATAAACCTCTGTGTGGGGGTTCATTATACCGTTCAACAATGAATGGAAGATTTTAATATACTTGTAGCCCTGATCAAGAGTCGTTAGTGAACGACTTATCATCGCTTTAATAGTTTCAATAAATCGTTCAGCGTGCACAGCTTTCGTTTCTCGATTATAGGTATGAAAGAGTGTAAAACCATATTTTTTAGACAAATCCCTTTTCAGCAACGCAAATTCGGTGCCCTCATCACTTTGTATTTTTTGCGGTATTTCGTTCTCTTCAATTAGAATTTCTTCAAATTTATTGGCAACATTTCGTGCCGATTTCGTTTTCAAAGGTTTCACAAACGCATAACGAGAATAAACATCCACACACACAAGTAGATATCGATATTGATTATTAATTTAACTCATTAAGCAGCAAGCTGTTACAATGTTACCACCCCCTAAAGTGGCAAGCAATATGGCGAATTCATGATTGAATTCCAAGCTTTCACCAAAATGGCAATATCTCAGAAACAATTACATAAAAAAGAAGTCTGATCTTTTCAACCAAACATGAGTGATATATGATTGACCAAATTTAGTTTAGATGACCTTGTATACCTATATATATCATTAGTTTTTTCAGTCAGTATTTTTATTTATAAAGCAGTGACACTTTGTTTTTCATGTCACTCATCACCTAAAGGGGCAATATCTAAAATAAATTTATATAAAAACAAAAAAAAATTCATTTACTAAATTAATACATATCTATATTACAACCAATTTTCATCTTTTGGGATATGAATTACGAAATTATAAAAAAAGTTAAAAATTACTGCTTTGCTTTTTTTGGGTATCTTGTTTACAACATGAAGTTTAGAACAGTAACTAAGTGTTCAAGTTCAACAAAGTGTGCAAGCCAAAACACAGTGTTTGTACATCTTTAAAGTTTTTGATTACTTCAAATATATTTAAAAGGACACATAGTGCTTGAATTTATTTATTTTAATATAAAGAAGGTGAGAAAATGGGAATTTTCTGAGGTGTTTTTAACACACACACTTTGCACTTTGGCACTTTGCGGTGACAAAACTAAAAGCTTTCACTTCTGTACTCGAAGCACTGAAAAGCATCATAAAGAGAAAAACACTTTAAACATACGTCAGGTAAAACTTTTAGCTCAATATTCTCATGCTTCTATTGGGAAAGCAACGGTTTAAAAGCCAAAATTATTTTGTGCGCCAATGTAGACTGCTATACAATGTCAGACAGGCGGTAGAAATAGGCCTTCATGAGCACTAATTGTATAGAAATATAATCTGTATGCTCAAATGAAAAAGATAACCTAATATTCGGGTATTCCACATAGCTATAAAAGGGTGAAATAAGAACTTTCATCTTTGGTTGTTTGTCAGACGTGAGAAACCACATTAGTGCCATTTTGTCGCACGTGCTATTTTATAAAATAAACACCTCAAAACCATAAACTTTTAGTTCAGAAAATAGCAAAGTAGATATTATTAAAAATGTTCTGGTGAAGCGATTTCATGATAAATAAGTGAGCTATGGGCCCAAAAGAACTGCTAAACTATGTTTTTGTCAGGACTTCAATTTCATGGCTTCCCGCAAAGGAAGCCATTTCAGAGAGAAGCGGCATTTTGCAAGCAACCGTCACGACCTATTTTTGATAACTTTTCCTTCTGTTTAAACATGTAGTTACTAAAAAATGAGGTTGCATCAACATTATTATCTGCCTTATCGATTTAAAGTTTTATGGGGATATAAAACCAAATAGAAAAAGCATTTTAAAAGCTTTAGAACTCAAGTGCGGACTTTTGAAAATTCGCACACAGCAAGCAAGCGCACTAATTCAATACACTTATTTTAAACCACAATGTGTCTGAAACGAGTTGTCGTTTTAAGACTAAATTTATGAAAATAGATATAACAGTGATTTTGGAATATCCTACTTACTTAGTGTAATTTAATACTCTAAGTATTCTTGCCAAAAAGGGCACATATGCACACAGTAATTTAATCTGGTGTCGTTTGAAACATACTTTAGCTAAAATAACAACTTGAACAAGAAGACTAACAATGGGGTTACGAAAAAAGTCGAAATTGTGCCCAAATTTGCATAAACAGTTTGTCTAAAAAGATAACTTTAAACTAGATTCAACCAACTTTAATGCGGTCGAATTTTGTGAGTGTTTGATCGCATATTTCTACTCAAAAATACCCTAAAAATTTCGTATCTGCTCACTTGAGGTTCCGTGTGCTCAAATATCATGCCCGCAAGTTAGGGTGTCATGTCAGGGCGCATTCGGGCGCATTGCCGCTTACCCCCTTGCCAATCTCAGGGCACATACGGGCGCATTGCCGCTTAATGAGTTAAATCCTGATAAATTATTTAAATCTGCTAAATCAATACTCCATTGTGCATTGCGTTTATATATATTAATACCTAAACATTTATAACGTGTTAATTTTTTACGATGTAGCGAGTACGCTTCTTTTTCTTGTTTATTTAATTGTTCATGTTTCAATAAACGTGATGATTTTTTAATCAGTTCCTTGTTGATCTTTCTTTCACGACGTTTCCTCATCTTTTATGACTAAAAAATCAACACAACAGATTTTTATTTAACATTTGTTTATATATATCATCTAGTTCTTTATCATCACCCTCCTTAATTAATTCTACATAGTCATATGGAAACTCTTCTTCCATTTCCTTTCTATATGATAAAACGGCTTCTTTTGCAGTTATATCATTTTGATACATAATAGCTATAACACATGACATTGCTTTTCGAGTCTAAAAGGAAAGAATAGCTTCACATATAACAAGTGGTGACACATTACCCTATACGCTAACATTGTAAAGTCTCTGACTAGTATGTTCAATCATACCACTAAACTGTCGTACATTTTATTACAGCTTCATCAAATGTTATTGTTGTGTGGTGTTCAAGCATACACTTCAATAACTTTGTTATACTATTTTTCAGTTCGTATACACATACCTTGTCATCCGAATCAAGCCCAACGCGTTTACGTTTCACTGCTGTCTTTGCTGGTTTTCCTTTTTTGGGCAGTTGAGCGATTTTCGATGGGACTTTCGAGAGAACTTTGGTGGTGTCTTTGAAGAGTGGAGTGCTGCTAGTGGTAGGTGTGGGTGGTGGTGGTGCTGGTGGAATAACTGATTCATCATCAACATTTATTTCATGTTGAATTTCTTGAATGAAGGTTTTCATTACTTTTGCCACATGGCGCCAATCTTCATTCTTTGAGATATAAAATTTTGCCCAAGCCTCGGTCCAATCATTGGGGGTGGACATGTTTTCTGTACATTCCAAGGTCGTTTCGGTAATATCAAGATCTTCGTCGCCTTCGGGCACGTCACCGACCACATCGTCCAATGGTGTTTCATGATTCAAACAGCAGAGGATCAAACCACCATATTCGCTGTCCTTTAACACCACCCGATAGGTGTTCTTTTTCCAATCTTCACCCTCAGATATTACAAAAATAATGTGTGCCACCTTTTTTAGCTTTTGCTAAACACTCGTATACTACTCAACATATCTTGTTATTGCTTCATCAAATTTACACTTTACAATTTCACTATATCCACTATAACACCCAGACCAATTAGTTGTCTCTACCACCATATTTTATTACCATCTAAACATTATTTGACTATTGCTATTCAACTGTATTGTGAAAAGATGAGACGTTCTCTGGTTAATATATTTATTAATCACAAGCTTTCGGCTACCAGTCTGTAGCCTTCAACAGGTGTATATACAATATGATACAAGGACGCTAAAACTATATAATATACATGTAAATTGAAACTAAACGTGACGTATGTGTATGTGCAATCTGAAATATGAAAGGTGATATTTAATACAATTTTCTTATTAAGGCTGTGTATTGTCGAGGAAGTGGCTTAGAATTGTTATCAGCATTTTTGTCTTTGGCTGTATGCCATGATTCTAAAGTTAGACGGTTCCGAAATTTCCCTTTGTCTATGACTTTCGAGTTATCAAAATCACATACATGATCACAGTCCCATGCATGCTTAGCAATGTTTGATCCATCTTTATTTTGTTTTACGTTTCTGACGTGTTCAGATTTTCTTGTCTTTAGGGATCTGCCTGTTTCACCTATATAATTCCAAGGGCAATCTTTATATGGTATTTTGTAGATGACGTTAGTTTGTTCTTCGGTTGGAGGTCTGTATTTTACTGAGGGGAATTCTCGTTGTCAGGTTCTCAAAGGTTTATTATGGACTTTTATGTTATGTTTTCTTAGTGTTCTTGAAAGAGGTTCGGTTACTCCTTTGATGTATGGTAAAGTAGCATGTCCATTGTAAGTTTCCGAGGGATCAACCTGTTCAAAGAATGTTCTTACTAATTGTTCCGGACTTGGCGTAGCTTTGTCAGTTTGGGATTTGATCACCTTAGAGATGAATGGTTTCGGGTATCCATTTGAAGCGAGGGTTTCGCTTATATGTTTTAACTCTTTATATTTGCTGTCTTCAGTGGTGGGAAGGTTAAGGGATCTGTTGATGAGAGTGGTGGCAGTACTGATTTTGTGTTTCAGATCGTGATGTGAAGAGAAGTCAAGGTAGCGGTCTGTATGCGTGGGTTTGCGGAAAACATTAAAAGAGATAGAGTTATTTTGTCTAGAAACTAGCGTGTCGAGGAATGCAATTTGTCCGTCTTTTTCATGCTCTATAGTGAATTTTATGTGAGGGTCAATAGAATTGAGTGTGTTGTGAAAGCTAGTGACTGCGTTCTTATTTATAATGGCAAAACTGTCGTCAACAAATCGTTTCCAAGTCTTAGGTGGTGTTATAGCAGATTGAATTGCTTGCTCTTCAATCACTCCATGCATAAATTTGCAACGATAGCACTGACAGGACTGCCCATGGGACATCCATGAATTTGCTTGTATATTAAGTCGTTGTAAATAAAGTAACTGTTAGATAAAACAAATTCCAAGAGTCGTAAGATATCGTCAATGTCTAGTTGCGTTCTGTCAGATAATGTATTGTCATTTATAAGTTTAGTTCTGATGTATGTGCATGCTTTGTCAACTGGAATAGCGGTGAAGAGAGATACAACATCAAACGACACCATACTCTCATCTTCTGAAATAGTAATCGTAGATATTTCGTTCCTAAATTGCATGGAGTTAGTTACTGAGAAACCATTCTGGTTTTGCAAAGGAGAAAGAATTTGAGAAAGGAATTTAGAAGTGTTGTATAATGCAGAATCTATAGAAGTGACAATAGGTCTGAGTGGATGGTTAACTTTGTGGTGTTTGATGGAACCTCTGATTGCTGGTGGAATTGCATTGCTTGAGTGTAACTTACGATAGGTTCTATCAGGGAGTTTTCCTTGATTCTTTAAACCAAGAAGCATGCAATTTAACTCTCGCTCGATTTTCTTGAAAGGTGGTTTGCGTACGACAGTGTAGGTGGACTTATCTTGTAAAAGGTTTTCCATTTTCGAATTGTAATCGCTTCGATCCAAGGTGACTAAACTGTTCCCCTTGTCTGCTTTCATAACGATTCTATTGGCATCTTTCTTTAGGTTCCTTAGAGCCTGACTTTCTTGATTGTTGATATTCTTATGTTGTGGGAGACGTGCTCGATCTAGGATGTTGGCTGTGTTAGTGCGAATAATATCTTTCGTTTCATCAGGGAGCTCGCGTATCGCAGCTTCGACTTCGGAGATGATATTCTTATAGGGGATACTAGCCGGAGATGATATTCTTATAGGGGATACTAGCCATTATAAATAAGAACGCAGTCACTAGCTTTCACAACACACTCAATTCTATTGACCCTCACATAAAATTCACTATAGAGCATGAAAAAGACGGACAAATTGCATTCCTCGACACGCTAGTTTCTAGACACAATAACTCTATCTCTTTTAATGTTT